AACGCGAGCCTGGGTCGCTGTACGTACATCGAGACAAACATAAGCTAGCTGTCTTTTCGCGCACAGAAAAGCGTTAGCGGGAAAAGAATTTTCTGATTTTATATTACTTTTATTGGCAAAACCGAGAACAAACGTCACGCACGTGGTCTTAATACAATACAATACGCCATACTTTTTTTCGCTCGACGCATGCGCGATCGCCGTTCCCAACGCCGCTTGGCGGACGCACGCCGATCACGGTAAAAAGACGCGCCCCTTTTAAATTCAAACCGTTACACCGTCCTTTTCAGAGTAAAACTATCGCGAGTGGACACTGCTTCTGAGAGCATCGCTCAACTCCCTGAGAATTACGACCCTGAGAATTAAAACACCAAGCAGTTTTGTATTCTTGACAGAACTCTCGTGCGAGTAAAAAAATTAGTGGAGAAATGAAATCACCGGATACACAGTTAAGAAATGCAAATTCTGTTAGAGTCTTACTTTTTTATTATATCCCTGTCATGACGATTATTTTATTATATTTACTATTATAACTTTTATCACTTCGAGAATAAATAATTATTGGTTTCTGATTGCTTAGAATATATTAATTTTGTCATTAATTATTTTTCATTATTTTTGGTTTTTATTAAACACTAATGTACAACAAGCTTTGTAAATAATACTCAATATGAGTTTCTAAGTGGTTAATTTACGAAGAAAACGAGACGAAATGTAAGTTATAACTATGATCATACTCTTACCTTGAACCGCATTTTTCATAACTTTCCCATCATTTCCGGGAAAAATGACAACTACATTTTTCGTTCCTTAGGATGCGTAAAATCATGCTGTAAAAAAATTTTTCGTTCCAGCCGTATGCCAAAACTCCTTTCTCCTATTCTCAGATCCATTACTGAAATTTTGAAAAGAATGCAAAAAGAAACTGAGATTTCTAAAATAAAAGTTCATCAGACTAACGTTAAAATTAAAAAAACATCTGTGATCACGTTTATCTTACACAAACATCACGATATCACGTTTAAATTATTATCTTTTATCACAAAGTTACCGCGGGGTGTTTAAAGTTTTAACCGATTCACCATACCTTCGGTAATTCAAATTGCATCTGTGATTTTAATCTCGATTTTCAAACGGTCCAAAATTGATCAAAGTTTCCCGAATGAACTTCCTCGAGTTTCAAACTTTATACATTTCGCTAGTTCCACAGTTCCGTGACTCCTTCAAGTTACAAGACGCGAAATTTACAAATTCACAGATGCTCACACTTGAAAATCCACCCTAACAGCAAGGCACTCCTCTTAATTTCCCAGCGCCGGCCATTCGTCACCGCCTAATTTCTTACCTTTTCCACACAGTATCCGTTCTTTTTCTCTAAATTACCCCGCACTTCCTATTCGCACCATTTTTCTCCATGCTACCGTACACACCTTTCTACTTTGCATATGCTATTTATCACCATTCTTTTTTATCCACTGTTTCCTGCTTTCTACCATCCCCTACTGCCGTCATTTTACTGTCTCACGTCACAAAAATATCGCATCTTCGTCCCTATTCCAGGTTTCACACCCAGCTAATTCTAATTTTACACGCCTAAAAACAGTTTGAGTGAAAAATTAATCTGAGTGATGACAATTTGAACGCAGCACAGTGGAATACTTTTTATTTAAAAAGCTGGCCAACATTCATATAGAGAGTTTCAATATGAAAATTTCATAATAAAATGAATCACACATAGAAATCGACTATATTTCGAAATAGTTCGGAAGAACTAACCTCTAATGAACTGTGTTACAATGTCTTGAACGTTGAATTGTTAATTTCTCTATTAGTTTTACGAAATTTCGTCAATTTAGCAATTCTACGCAGAGCTGGAAAACTTTCTCACGGGACGGTACAGGGGCAGGAGGGGTACTTCACTCGTGTCGCCTAAATCTCACGTCGTGAAATTTGAAGTGTTTCAATTCGTCGATGTTATCGCGTCGGCCAATGATAACAATACTGTAACTAACACACGTTACTTAAATTAGGGTAATTTTAGGTAAACGCATACCACTTAAAACTCGTACAGGCTAATTAACCCTCATCCGTCCCTCAGTTTCGCATCTTAATAGGTCCCTCGGTGTTAATTTGCCACAATGGTAAAAAATCAATTAAACGACAAGATAAATAATTAATTTTGTAAATTCTTTTCTTAAACACAGAAAATAAACAAAACATTTTTTCTACAAATAGCCGAATAATACAATGTACTACCGAAAAAGTGTGTCAAATTGACACGAGGGACGAATGAGGGTTAAAGCTAGTAAACTTCTGAAGGCCATGCTTTTAAGCATGTCACAGACTCACTCTGCTTGCAACGTAAAATTTCATACTATGAAAAACTTCTTAACAAAACTCAACAGAAATCGCTCGTTAGTCGGGTAAACTTCATCTCATCAAATCGACTTCACTAGTTACGTTCTATCTCGTGCCCTATTTCTGTGATTGCGCTAAAGAAGGATATGACCCAATCAGACCCACATTCCTTTCCACCTCTGCATAGCACTTCCCTATAGCAAAGAGACCTTCAAGTGTAAAGGGTTAAATTATATCCCTACAGTGTAAAATTAATTTAATTTTTTTTCCCCCACTTTCACAGGACGAACGCAAAGAAATTGTCGCTACAGTTCAAGGACAGGCCCATGACCGCCATAGACACCGCCATCTTTTGGGTGGAATACGTTGCCAGGCACGGTTATATCCTGCAATCTCCCGCTGTTCATCTTGCCTGGTGGGAACAGGGACTATGGGACGTCTACGGATTTGTATTTGCCGGTTTGATAGCAGTTCTCGGTGCTCTCGTCTACATAGTTCAGAAATACATAAACGGACACAGATCTCGTTCCAAGAGGCACTCGAATTCCCAATCGAAGAAGAGGAAATGAGCTGTTTCAATGTGTATATGTGTGTGAATGTATGTGTTGTACATACGTTTGAGTGTCCAAAGTATAACGATTTCGTAAACTCATTGAACTTGCAACATTATATTATCCGAATTTTCTGTGATTTTATTTTTCAAATCTTTTGTAATTCATTGGATCATATATCGACAGTTTAACCCTTAATCATTAACCAGAGTAGTCTTTAAGTTTCTAAATTTTCGTTTCCCGCTTATTTTTTACCAACGCACAGTGGAGTGTTTTACTTTAAAAAATTGGCGCCAAAATTCAAATATTTACGACTAATTAAAAACCAAGAAAGTGTATTTTTGTTGTAATGTTATTAAACTGAAGTATCATAACGGCCATTTTTTCTGACGACAGAATTTAGGAAGATTTTTGTTTGATCGTTGTTTTTAATTTTCTGTGAGCAAAACCTGTCTGCAATCTAACATTTCTATAAAAAAAAATTAGTCAAAAATTGGTGGTAAATTCTTCTTTTCCTTACTTACACATGTGTGTACTCTCAAATTGAAAAATTTAACACGAAAATTTCGTAATGAAATAAGTCACCTACATAAATCGACTTGTTTCTGAATATTTTCATTCTCCTCTGAGTTTTCGCGTAAAATTGCATTAAGTTTCGTCATTTCTAAGTGAATTTGGCTCCGCTAAAACAAGTAAAATAATTTTGGCTGACGTATTCATGCAAATACTCTACCAAAAAAATATCTTTCGTCTATTTTATACTGAGGTATTTAAGATAAGACAAACGTAAATAAAAATACTTAACAATAAACCAGTAAAAATGAAAATATAAATTTTTCAATAACGATAAATCTAATCTGAAGAGAAAGTTAATAATTAAGAGTTAAAGTACTCGAGTATAGATACAATTTTAAAGATACTTAAACGGTAATTTTCTGGAACTTTTGCACTTCTTCTACGTTGTCATATAACAGTATCTGTGATGTACATTAAAATTGTCAAAATTCCACACCCAGCCTTTCATTCCCTATAATAAATTGATTTAATCGAATTTCAACTCGTATGCATTTATTCATTTTCCTTGAAAAAAGCAAGTTTTAACTTCTGCAAGTAGCAACATAAAAATATCTTCAAGTTACTTGTCCTTCGTATTAAACAATTATCCACGTGCAAGGGTTAACGTAACGTTATTCACGCAATTTGAATAATATTTTTGCACAAAAGGAAATATCTACGAACATCTTTGAAATAATATGTATTATACATTTTACTCTATTCTCTTTTTTCGTTTACCCACGATTATTCAAAGAGTAAAAGTCTTGAAGACCAAAAATTTCCAGCAAAGTAAAACGATTTTTTATATACATTATAATTAAAAAGAGAAAAAAAGAAAAGAAGAAAAATAGAGAGCGTATTAAAATGTTACTCAGGGTGAGTGTATTTGTACACGCGACAAGTTTCAATAAACCGCCGTCGACTTGAAACTCACGTTCGTTCTCTCGAAGAACATTGCGCATAACGTTCCTACATTTTTACGTTAATTAACCCCGAACCTATCCTCGTAATTTTCCCAGGGTTTAACTCGGCAGAAAATCAGCTTGCATGCACGGCTCCAACGTGATAAAATTCCCGAAGGCGAAACTTTCAAGGATTCGTTAAATTTGTATGCATTAAGGACATTCGAGTCCTACCTGCTGGTGGGGTGGAATTCATCGCCTGCAACTGCAAACATTCTTGCTCCCTTTCCACAAGAATACGACGAAGTTCCTCGTCCAGTAGAGTGCTACCGACTGTCGTATTCCCGGGCATCTGTAACGAAACAAATTTCACCAAGTTCACGTTTATGTAATAAGTTGAGACAGTTGAGTGAAAATCTTGAAAATTTTGGGTGAAAAAATTTTGTCGAAATGGACAGTTTTCTGGATACTTTGGGCAAAAGAATTCTGATTAGATGGATTTTGCGAGTCTTCTTCAAAATATGTAGGGCAGTGTTACGTAGAATTTGATTTTGGACAAAAGATATCGGTAACGTAGAAATTTTGAAAAAAAGAAGATATCAATAAGGTAGGAATTCTGAAAAAAAAGTTATCAATAGGGTAGCAATTTTGAAAAAAAAAAGATATCTATGGCCTAAAAATTTTGGAACAAAAGTTATGAACAGCATAGAAATTTAAAAGAAAATAAGTTTAAGTGTAATTTAAAAAATTGCAGAAATTGTCAAAGTCAAGAAATATGAAATATGCAAAACAATTTGTTTGAAGTTTCACCGGAAAATAGTAAGAAAAATATGAAACACCGTTTGTTTTTAGTCGCCATGGAAGATTAAAGCACCCTGTCGACGAATGCAAATTTCAAAATGTCATCCTCTCCTATCGATACAAAATTGACATCGATGAAAAATTGAATTTGTCACTGCGCCAACTTTCCATTCTCGTTTCTTTCGTGTTTCATATTATCATAACAACTTTTTTAACGAACCTTCGAACAACCATACATTCATACGACATTTCGATGGAAAAATCCATTTAAACAGAACCCTTGCATGCCACCATATTCTCTTGCAATTTTAGTAATCTAACCTAATAAATGGCTCAAAAGGCAGTAACATGAATCGAAGAGGAAGCTGATCTTCAAGGCTTCGAAAGCTGTTAATCAACGTTGACGGAGCAAACTGCGTTTCTTCCACGAGATTAACGACACGCATTTTTCGAGTTGCTCGATCAACGTCGATGATAAAAAGCAGCGAACGCTAGTGCAAAATTGTTAGAGCTTAACGATGGGGACAAAGTTACAAAAAAGAAATGCGAGTGAAAATCAATCTTCTGTTACCAATAAATCTACCTGTATAAAAGCAAGCTGTGTGTTATTATTATTATTATTATTGCACAGCAAATTAGAGCTCGATTTTCAAAAGGGTATTTAAAGAAATTCATTTGCTTAAATAACACATTAAAAATTAAAAATTCGTGCTTCCTTGTTAATTTCTCATTTTCATGTAAGTTTGTGTACAGATACTCTTGGTTGAAGTACAAAATATGGATAAATTGGAATTTTGAAATTCCAATTTCTACGATAATTATAACTTTTTCGAAATCGTACGCTACATTATAGATAATGATGAAAAAGAATTTCTAGCAGAAGAGGTTTCGTAATTAGCGAATAATTCCGCCATGTTGAAACATTTTTACCTTTTCAAAATTCGAGAAAAAAGCTGAAAGTTACATTTACATATATCCTCGGGAAAAAATTGAAACTTTTCATCTATGAAAAAAAATTCCCAAACTTGACCTATTTTTGTACTCCCTTAAATAATAATATATAACAGTTCTCGATTATGTTAGAAAGGAGTCTCTTGCACGTGAGACGGGAATAATTAAATTTCGCAGAAATTCAGTGGAAAATTTGAAGCAGAAACATGGTCTTCGTCATAGAAGCTTGCGCGATTTATGAATAGAACCCGTTTCAATCGATACACAACGTGTAATAACTACATTGGAAAGCGAGTTATTGCATCCATTCGAACGACAGGACAGGAAACAATAAGTAACGGTTTGCAACAGCAACTAGGCTCGATTCCATAGAGAAATCATGTCCGTCTATCGTTTACTTAGAAGTTATCAAAATTTACTAATTTCACGATCATGAGCAATCTAACGCTCCAGTTTGCACAGAATGCAATCATTTTTTATTATAATGCAAAAAATCGAAATTCCATTTATCCATACGTGAAAATTAATTAATATCTTGAATGAAAAATTAACAAAAAAAGAAGAATTTTTAATTCTCAATTATTATTTAAACAAATGCAACTTTTTCTAAAAATTAATTGCACAGGCGAATTTGTTATTGAGAAACACATAATTTCTACCTTTAAACCATTTCTCTAACTCTAATAGTTTCCGAGATATCGGAACAAGTAGGTTTTCGCACGTAACTTTGAGGATTGTTTTCACCCCTTCAACATGAACAATGGCGGATAAAGAAAAATACGTGTCAAATATTTTTTCGTGAACTACATCATACGTAAATTTCATCAAAATCAGGGAATGATACTTTTTAGCATATTTAACACGAACTATCCTGCATTTATAGATTCAAAACTCTGTTAGTGTTTTAATCATTTCAATTAGCATTCGTTCCAAAATTATCCCGGCAAAGTAAATATTTCAACTTGATCGAAACGAAATGCATTTACTCTGAATTTATGAAATTTTCAGTTTGCGAGAATTATTGATTCTTCTATTAATACAAAAGGTTGAATTTAAACACCCAGTTATTTCGATAATTATCGCGTTATTTTACTGCTTTCTTTTCCAAGAAATTTAAATATTAAACTTGTAATAAACATAAACGTGTGGGTGTGTGTGTGTGTCCCAAGAGAAAGCAAAGAACAGGCAAAATGTTTGTCGACATGGATCGATCATATTTAACGTGGTTAAACACGATATTAAACTTTTACTGAGGTTCTCTATTTCCCAAGTTTGATTTACTCCATTTCCCATCCGTTCGCCGCTTAAGAATGCAAATATTTCCAAAGTTATACCTCTGATCGTACTTCTGATAGCTTTGCCACAGATAAAGCGTATTAATTTCCATTTAAATTTGTTAAGAGACCTAATTCCAAATCGTAAAAGTGGTTTTAGTCAACACAGAAGCAAGATTAATCGAAAATGTTAGTTAACCCCTTAACATATGACAACGTGTCAGACTCGTGGCTGAGATTCTGGCGAAGATGTGAGAAAAATAGTTATATTAGTAAGAAAAATTCATTGTGATCCTAATTTTCGTGTGAATTTCTAAGACTGAGGATTGCTAAATGTAATTAATTTGTGACAGATTAGTTTTTGTTACCTGGTACAGTACTGAAACAGAAAATGGCCGACGCTTAGATGCATAGTCAGAAAAGAAATCATAGGTTAAGGGGTTAACGAGCACAAAAAGAAGATATGAAAGTTCCAAGTGTTAAATAAGAAGGAAAAATGTTATCGGTTTCTCTAGAAGAGATAGAAAAAAAAGGCAAACAGAGAAAAAGCAATAATCAATGGAAAATAAATTACCGTTTGGTCCGTAGTAGGGGTAGAGTCACTTAAATATCCCGTGAACGTAAGGCGCGCGCAAATAACTGAAACTAGAAAGAGAAACAAAGCGGAGAAGTTAACAAACTGTCGACTGAGAACGGTTCGTTCTAATTGAAAATCAATATCCACTGTCGTTCTTTTTTTTTTTTGTTCTGCAATTCGTAAACGAGAGTTTAGAAATTTCTAACGAGTTTCTGATCTCTTCCGGAGGCGAGAGTAAACTTCCTAATCCGGTGGTTGGTCTTCGGTAAATTTAATAAACGAGAAATCTCTATACGATTCCGAACATATCGTCGTTTCTTCGTATCGAAGATCGTCGTTCCAATGGTCAAGTTACGAAACTGCAGAAACTTACCTTTTTTTCAGGACAGAAGGAAACGTAACCATTTTGTCGATTGGTGGGAAATTGCATTTGATTTTATCCACCATTACCATTTATGTTACAAATTTACCATTTATATTGTGATTTTACATTAATTAACGAAACGATGTTCTGTTATCTTGAATAATTAAATTTTTGCAGTTTCATAATTTTACCATTCGAACGACGATATTTCTTGTTTATTTTCACTTTTTACTTGTAGATGGGTGAGACTTCAGTGATGCACGTAAGAAAACTACTTCGTTCTTTAATGTAAAATCACCTTTGATTTTATCCACCAATTATGCCATTTATATTGTGATTATAGGTTTTCTTCTCTCTTGAAGAATGAACTTTTTGCAATTTCGTAATTTTACCATACCAATGACAATATATAATTATTGTGTACTTGTAAAATATGTAATTTATAAAATATCCGAATTATTAAATATTTATAATTGTAAAAAAAATTATTATTAAGTACGTATTCTTATTATCGAGACTGCTGCAAAGTAGCTTGTGTAATAATACAAATTTTGCTTAGAAATTAAAATATTCAAAAATAATTGAAATTTATTCGTCTATAAA